TGAAGCAGTAGGTGTGAATTTGAATGGACTCCAGAAGATGGTAGAGGACAGGAAGACCTGGAGGAACATTGTCCATGGGGTCGCGATGGGTCGGACACGACTTCGCAATTAACAACAACAAACCTTTGGAATAAAGCATTTTTTTAATTGATGGAGAACTTACAAAGTTGAAAGGAAACCCTATTATGCCCTGACACTACAGTGCTGCAAAGTGGATTTACATCTCCAGAACTAGCCTACTTTCTTTTGGACCACTTTAGAGGGTATCTCTGAAATATGTAAATTTGTCTTAAACAAATGTATCATTGAAGTTATTTACCAAATTTTGCATTTTTAAAAATAGTTTTCTTCTATCCTTCTAGACAGAACAGCATCTTGTTTCTAATATCTACCACTAAGTTCACTCAGCCTCCTTACTGCAAATACATAGCTAATAGTGCTGTAGGACACTTTGGTTTAAGAAAGGTTGCAGGAATTGGGTATGTCTAGTTTAGTGAAAAGAAGGACTAGGGGTGACATTATAGCAGTGTTCCTATATTTGAGAGGCTGTCACAAAGAAGAGTGGGTTAGCCTATTTTCCAAAGTAACAGAAGGCAGGACAAGAAGCAATGGATGGAAACTAATCAAGGAGAGAATGAACCTTGGATTAAGGAGAAATTTCCTGACAATGAGAACAATTAACCAGTGGAATGCCTTGCCTACTTATGGATGCTCCAGCACTGGAAATTTTTAAGAGATTGGACAGCAATTTGTCCAGAATGGTATAGGGTCTCCTGCTCAAGCAAGGGATTGGACTAGAAGACCTCCAAGGCACCTTCCAACTCTATTATTCTCTTCTGTTTACATGTCCTTTTCCCACGTCTTAGCTAGAGCTGTGGAGGATAACTGCAGAATCCTAAGAAAAGAGGTGCTCAGTTCTTTTGAAAATATCTGAAAATGTTCCCTGGGTAGAACAAGACCACCTAGAATCTTTATGGCCAAAAGTAAATAAAATGAAAATATGTTTTTTTTATATAAAAAAAGAAAATTAAACATTTTGTAAGTCATCCAAGATATTTGGATGACTGGGAGCAGAGGACATCTCAAGCACCAATGTGGTGATGGAGAGGAGGAACTGGAGAGGATGAAAAGAGGCACACATAAAAGTTTAATTGTCCTGATAATTGATTATACAAAGCCTTGGAATTTTTAAATGTTGTCCATGCAGCATATGTTGAGTGGGCTCAGAGGAACGTCTCAGTTATAAAATAAAGAGGGGGAATTCTATATGTGAAGAACAGATAGATAGATAGATAGATAGATAGATAGATAGATAGATAGATAGATAGATAGATAGATAGATGGATAGATAGATAGATGTGACTGTGTTTATGTTTTAATTGTATTGGGAAAGAACAGACCAATATGGATACAATGGGAAACATTCAACCTAAAGTATCTCGTATCAATTCTGTATAAATGTAAATGTGCCTGAAATGCAGTATTTGCTTTGTAAGGGAACTAGGCATTATTACACTTTGCAATCTAAGTCAACATAATTATTTCAGTTAAACCAGCAAATGATTATCTTTGTCATTTCAAACAGAGAGAATAATGAAATGTTTGCACCAATAAAAGAGGCTAAAGGAAGTGAGATTAACAAAAGGACACAATTTCATTTGTAATTTAAATGAAAATCTAAATTTGAAATTCAAAAAATAAGTGAAGTCCCACCAAAGAGAGATTATACTCTCATCCGGCACACAAACACAAAAACTTACTTTAACAGAAAATGCTAGAATTTCTTTAAAAGTTCTGCAGAGCATGAGCCACAGCACAGACAGCATTATTTAGATGCTGTAGCTATGAGTGGTCAGGCTTGTTTCAAAAACAGATACAGGAAGGGTTTCTAATTTTTCTTTCCCAGTGCATATTTTGCTCTCCTCTTGGTCTGCCAGAGAAATGGAAAACACACACTTAAAAACTTGTTCCCCAAAAGCTTTGATGAAACCATCTTCTCCTTCCTTTTAGGCTTTCTGACCTGAGCAAATTTTTGGAAGCCAAGCAACTCATTTCTGTGCACTGCTAATGATATAGTACCTTGTATGAAGTCTAACTTTCAATCATATTAAAAGGGGAGTGATGTGAGGTCCATTTCAACTATCATAATCCAGACCTTTACCAATATTGGCACATTCTCAAATTCTGAGAAATAAAGCATTCAAAACAAAGGTGGTCTGAATTTCACCATGGACTATGAATATTGGCAGAGCTGTTTAGGATTGCTTTATACATTTTATTTTGTCCAACATGTCAGCAGCACCTTCAGCAAATGTTGGTTCTATAGTTACATGGGAAGTACATCCTGCACAAATTTATCTCCATTGACATCATTCAGATAAATAACACCAACCCGTCTCCATTCAAAATAGTTCAACAACCTGAAAATACCCTTATACTGGAGGGCCATATCTAGGAACATCTGATGGTTTTTTTTCCTCCATCACTATTGTAGGGCCATATGTGAACAAAATAAAAGAGAAGACCAGAAAAGCCATACACAAAATGAAATAAGAAAGTAGATTCTTTCCATCAATGTTGAATTCTTGATCTAAATGAATTTCTGGCTAACTGACTTACTCTGATTGATGAAGCTGCTTGGATGAGCAGTGAAACATCTCAAACTAATGAAAATTAGTCCAGCTGCCATGTTTCAACCTTTTGACACTTTTGCCTGGATAATTGACATTTTGATCTAAACCTTACTATCTTTCTGTCTATTTTCTATTTTGTTTTTCATAATTTGAATATTATAGCTTCAGTTTCATAATAACAAATAATGATGGTATTAATTTTTGCATTTTGGAAGGGAAGGGAAAAAATAAAGGGGCTTTATTACATGCTTTGATTTACCCTGAACTTGGTTAACAGTTATATGCAGTTGTTCCCACTTTACAAGATGCAGACAATGCCAAAAAAATTCATACATTATTTCCTGGAGCCTATAGTTCATATTTAAGTTAGTCCTCAGGTTTTTCTCTATTTTGTTCACTTTTTCCCATTCTTAGATCATAAAATTATCTCATATTTGATAGAAGAGATTAATATTGCTTAACTTCCTATTGTTTTTCATACTGCCTACCTGTGGGATCTTATGCCTAAAAAGAATAGATTCTATTATGTGTAATTTCATGGTAAATAATATATGCAGATCAAACATGTCATCAACAGAAACTTTGGAAAGAAGAATAAAAGTATTCACAGTTCTGGGATTTCAGCCCTTGATTCAAATATGTAGCGGCAATAATGAAGTATCAATTGGGTTCTTATATTATGGCTGTGGAAAACATGCTTCTCAGTTCAGTCCATGTTACATACAGATGGAAAGTATCTTTTTATTTTGGCTTCATTTTATATCAACATGATGGAATTGGTTATGGATCTCTAACCATGCTACCCCTGTGATGCTATATAGCTTGCTATTTATTCTCTTTGCTCCAGTCTGGCTGGGATGAATTTTCTTTTGATGGAATACATTTAGGTCCCTAAGTTCAGAGTTCTGGCTACTTATGGATTTGGAGGTGAGGACCATAGTTAGAGAAGCATTTGTCTAACTTTAGCTGCTGCTCCAATTTTGTCCTAATCTAAAGAGCGGAACATCAAACCCATCATACCTTGATCATTGCAGAATGAGGTTGCAGCAAAGTTTTCTACATACAATAGGGTTGGCTTTGAAGATACATAAGAAATAGTAATTGGTGCAACATAAAGCTGCTCACCTGCTGACAGCAAGGCTGTCTACTGCAAGATATTATCTTATATTATTATTACAATGTTATTATATTATAATATAGTAGATATAAATTATCTCTGTTCCAGGTGCTGAATGGCATTTCAATGTCTTTCTAGCTACAAAGACAAACTCATTTCTCAACAGAGCCAACTTATCATAGAGAGAAAAGCACAGGGTTCCCCACAGAAAGCTACAATTTTACCCTAAAACAATTTCTCTGCTATTACTCTTACTAATCGACAATTCTTTTTGAATTGAATTACTTTTATTTCAAGCAGGAAAGGATACAGCATTACAGAAGATGGGCATATAGTAAAAAGCAGCAAGCAGGATGTGAGAAAAGACAACAAATAGATTTTTAAAATGGCTTGAAAGAATTGCAGAAAAGATAGAGGGAAAAAATGGTGGAGAACTGAATTAAACTCTTTTCCTTTCTCTTCTCTTGTACTCATGGACCAAGGATTTGTTTTTGTGTGTAGTTTACATAATCTAGACGGGCCGGAAAATACTGTCACATTTTCTTCTGCTTGCTATTGAAAAATATATCCCACTTGTTACCTTTTTTAAAAAAATATGGAATAATAGGAAGTGACTGTTATCCTTCTTTCTGCTTCTTGTTGGGCTGAAACATCCTAATTATTTCCTTTTGTTTTTAAACCCATATTCACTTTCATGTTATTGCATATATTCGGTTATTTTATTACTTGTAGTATTTTATTGTTTTCTGGTTTTAAATCATCATGTTTATCATTGAATTCATTGAAGATTTTGACATATATGTGCTTTATATAATAATTAGAAACATAAAAATATACAGTACAAACTAGGCAAGATAAAAATATGCAATGTAGCCAATATTTTGGGAACAAAATTTTGGAATTTAGCGTCCATTTTTCCTCTAGAATTTTATTTTGAAAACTAATCAGTTAGGACTACAAATCATACGATTATGCAAACTTTATTTTAAACAGTGGTAACATTTTTCTGCACTAAATATTTGGGATCAAGTATAGGTAGCTTCAATATAAGGCTATTCCTATACCTCAAAAAGAAAATATATCCACTGCTCAGATGAAGAATAGGTTGTCTTTCTTGCACAGTGCATATATTTCTGTTGATTACTTTGGAAAAAATGTTTAGCAAATTGAAAGCATCTCATCAGAATGAGACTTGAACTAGAGTAAGACAATTATAAAATAATAATAACAAAAATGGGAGATCACTTTTATTACTTTATCAGCTGCTCTTTTATGTTCAGATCAGGCCTCAGAATAATAATGTAGCATTTTGGGAAAAAGATGCAACCCAGTAATCCTGCTGCAGAAGCCAAAATGGAGAAGACCTCCACAGCTACCATGTACTTTCCCTTGGTGCTCAGATAAGTGGGAACAAATGACACCCAGACACTACAAAAAACCAACATGCTGAAGGTGATAAATTTGGCTTCATTAAAGCTATCTGGTAACTTCCTGGCTAGGAAGGCTACCATGAAGCTGATAGCAGCCAAGAACCCCATAAAGCTTAGAACAATATAAAACATGATGGTTGAACCTTCATTACATTCCAGGACAATTTCTTCAGGTATGGAATGCATATCTGAATCAGGGAATGGGGGAAAAATTGCCAGCCATACAATACAAATGATTACTTGCACCAGGGAGCAAGATGACACAATACTATTGGCTAGTCTTTTCCCTACCCATTTCCTCATTTTGGAGCCTGGCTTGGTGGCCATGAAAGCAAGAACCACTAGGATTGTTTTAGCCAATATGCAAGAAAGAGCTACAGAGAAAATGATACCAAAAGCAATTTGTCTCATGAGACATTTCACTTGATTAGGTTGCCCAATGAAAAGCAGTGTGCAAAGGAAAGAGAACAGGAGAGCAAGGAGAAGAGTATAGGTGAGGCTTCTATTGTTGGCTTTGACAATGGGAGTGTCTTGGTGTTTAATGAAGATCCACATCACCACAACTGAGATAATAGAAAAGAAGTAAGCAACACTGGTCAAGGTGATTCCCAAGATTTCTTTGTAAGACAAGAATGTTGTGAGTTTTTTAATGCAAAGAGCCTTGTCCTTGTTAGGATAATTTTCTTTAGGACACAGGAAACAATCATCTAAATCTGAAAGATGAAACAAAGTTGTCAAGCACTTCACAGTTGGCTCAGTTTTCCCCAACATTCTAAATAATTGTACTTCAGTGCTTGGAATTTCCAGACTATCATCATACAGTGTGGGAAGTTAGGAATTTGAAGTCTAAGTTATTTTTTAAAGCTATGGGCAGAAAAGTCCTAAAATTAAATTGTGAGTCCTGATGGTGCAGTGATTGTAGGCAAACTCTGCCCACAGCTTGGAACTTGCTCCTGATGGGCTAAGGTTGACTCAACCTTCCATCCTTCCAAGGGCAGAAAAATGAGGTGAGGGCAATATGTAAATAATGCTTCTACATTGTAAACCACCCAGAGAGTGCTGTTGAGCACTATGGGAGGGTATGTAAGCCTAAATGCTAAAGCCAATGCTAAATTGTCTGAGAACAGACCCTTGAAATTTAACTTTAATTAGTCAGATATCATTTGATTTTATGTGCATGTTTAAAATTGAATTGAGCCTTGAACTTCTGTTTTCCATATATTCCATATTCTGGCCTGAATAATCCTTAGCGCTATTTTGCTAGTAGTGAAATAATTGTAGAACAGTTTAGGCATTATTTTAAGTCTCTTGTTTTGTTAATGGAATGCAGATTGTCCTCCTCTAATCTGTTGGCTTCTGTGTTGTTCTCCAGATAAGGTGGCATAACCTGGCCTGAACCTTGTTTCTTCTAAGTAGAGAACATGAGAGATTTTAGCATTTCTGCTTCCCATGATTTTGGTATACTATTTCCACCTTTATTTGATTATCTTTGAATTGAATATAATATCTATAATGGCAGTTGATAAATATATTAGCTGATTTTTATACCCATTAAATAGTAATTTTGGATTTTTGTATACTTGTCAATTCTGGCATTGGATGTGCATTACCATAACCAAACATTTTATGTTTACTTGAATCCAATTGACCCTGGGCAGTCCACAGTATTAACTTTTTATCTATTCATTTACTTATGTATTTTTAAATAAATATAATTTAGAAACCACTCATCTCACTCACAGAGTGAATCTTTTTAAAGTTTTTTTTCTTGGTTTTGCTTTTGAATTTTCCTTTGTAAAGCAAAGTTATAAACATAAAAAATAAATTCTTTTATCTTTATGAACTTTGATCAGATCTGCCCCATTTTCAGGCTTTTGTCCTATTTTCTCTGAGAAAATAAAGTCATTATAAGTATATGGGAGAAATAAAATGATGGATCTAGTTAAAAACTACAAAAATATCATACTTTAATACTCCATTTTCCAAACATCCTAAGGGAAATTTGGAAAAAAAAAACAATTAAGGAGATTTCAGATGACACTCTAGTGGTTATGAGGAAAAACTAATTCAAATACATTGGACATTTTATGAATTGGAACCATTTTGACTTGGGACAATCCCATGGTTGATCTTGCAACCATTTCTATCCTCAGGGTCTGTAGGGTAAATTCCCAGCATTGAGAATCTAGATAGTGCTTTGAACCTATTGACCTTCACAGCTAATAGATATCAACATTCTTGTATGACATTTCTTACCTGTCTGGTTGGCAATTTTCCCTTCTGGACAATGAAGGCATCTGTAACAGCAAAATGGCTTTCCTTCAATTTTGATCTTGCTGTATCCCAAGGAGCAATGATCATTGCATAAAGAAAGAGGTTGAGTCTGTAAATAAAAGAAAGAGCAATATAATTCAAATCTAAATATTAGCAATCTAGAAACACCTTGAGAAATCTTTTCTTTCCTTTTTTGATTAGAGTTATCAAACATTTTATGCTAGTGTAAAAGACTTGTCTTATCCCTTAAAATATTCTGGCATAATGAGTCATGCAAATTGAACTGTCTCTTCTTCATGAGATAGATCTCAAGGATTAGGGCTAATTAGCTAATGAGCTCAGGAATAGGAATGGCTATATTGAGTTACTTTTTTTTTCTGCCAAATCAACTAAGCACCTAGAATATTCCTTTTCATGTACTTTTCTCTCACTATAATTTTAAAACTATCAGCAAACATCTGATTCATTATTTTTTCAAGCTGTTAAAGCAAGTTATTTGGAGATCAGCTGCAGCATGAGCAGTGAACTACTTTAAAAATGAATAATAGGTACCTGATTGAAAACATTGGGCCAGACAATGTTATCCACTGATAGAGAGAGAAGTCTTTCTGGTTGAGCCAATGGATTTACTTTTCCAACTTTGATCTTAAGAAAGGATTGATTTGGGAAGGTGACCCAGTTGATAATATCAAAGCCAGTTGCAACCTTCTGATTCTGGTCAAAGAAAATTTTTTCTCCAGCACTGTTGTTAAATGAGACTTTTCTCAGATAATGATGAAGCTGAAGGGAAGAACATGACAATAATTAATAAAAGCATAGAAGAATGAAAAAAAAATATACAGCAATATAGTTTCAGAATATATTATTGTGTCACAAATGAAGGCAAATATATGGGTCAAGGATGATGTTGCAGGCCCCAATCTCAGTCACTCACAAGGACCAGAGGCTTAGTCTTCTGAGATTTCAGACTCTCACCAGAGAGTGAGAGTGTGTGGCTTTTTAGATGTTGATAACAAAACTAAACTCAACAATTAATTCAACAACTAAAAAGCTACACAGACATACATACTACACATAGAATAGCCCAAAGCACATATTCCGCTAGAGAGAATTTCCCTGAAGATGGGCTCCAGCACAAGACGGAAAGCTCAGAAGACTAAACCTCTGGTACTGGTGACCAATCCAGATTGAATCCTGCAGTATAATTGTGTTCCTGAAGTATTGTCATAGTGCTACTAATATGTTGATAATATTACTAATTCCTCACTACTATCAACAGTAGCCAGAAGGTTGATGGACAGAGACTTCTACTAAGAGACCTTAACAGATCTTTTTTATTATCTATCACTCAGAGGTACATCAGATCACCAGCAGCACAACCATGTTCACTACCTTACTAGCATTTTGCACTAGCCTCTCCATTCTCACCCCTACCTATCCTTCTCTCTGTGTTATAATTTTCATTCTCAGTGTCATGGTTCTGATAGATGAAACCAATTAAAAGAACTTCAAAGCAAAGATTTCTTCCTCAAAGAACATTTTATTCAGGAAACAAAGTATCAGCACTAACATAGTTGAACCCAAGACTAAAGTTCCCTCCCCCTACTACAAAATAACAAGTTGTAATTCCCACCTCAGAAGGCTGTCATAAATCACATTCACCAATTAATCTAAAACAAGGGCTCTCCTCCCAACTTTTCAGCCCACCAAAACTTTATCTAGAATTGACCTTGATTCTTATACAGTTGCAATTGCTATGGCTAGCTAAACCTGCTCAGGTATTCCCTCTTCCCCCTCCTTTCTCATCTGAAATACCAAACAACAGCAAAAAAAAAAAAAAAAAACAACAATGAAAGCAAAAGATGAAAATGGCTAGTTTCTCACTTGTCATAACACTGACACTCAGGCCCTGAAGCCACCAGCATTTTGTCCTGTTCTTCCCTCTTATGAATCCATCTTTAAGGCACTAATGACCTTTCAAAATTTTCTATTATATGTGTCAAGAGATAAAATAGATGCATAGTGTGAATTTTTCCAGAAGAAATAATGCTTTTTGCACCATTCTTAAAAAATACTAGGGACATGGGAGGCGTTGCTTTTTAGGGTCTTCACTTACAATTTAATTAAATAATGACATGAAGAAGCAGCAAACCCTCTTTGATCCCCAGATAACTAAAACTTTGCATTGATACAAAAAAGAACTGGAATCAGTTATCAATACTATAAAAAGTCTATGAAAAATGAAGGAATATGAAGGATCAAAATATCTGGAACTTTGTATCATGAAAAAACAATCTGGAAGAAGCCCATTATTTGATATAAGATTGGAAGATGTGGACATTCTGTTCCTTCTAATTCTTTTCTCCAGTTTCATATTTAATTTAATTTCCATATTCTTTGTGTACAGATGTAGATAGGGAAGCAATATCATCTGCTAGATTAATAAATACAGGAAATTACCTGCCACGCTTGAGGATTCAGTTTCCCATTACCAGCCATAGCTCTGTGTTTGGAGTGGGATGTAAGCATGGAATGGAGAGCATGTGCCACGGCATAGACTGCATTGTAGATACTGTAGCTTTGTCCAGTCATGCTCAATTCAAAAACAGACACTGGGAGAGCCTCCAGCTTCTCTTCCCCAGTGCACCTTTTCTCTGACTTGAGGTTTAACATGGCTTTTGAGAAAGAACACTCAAAGGCTTGTTCCCAAAAGACCCTTAAAAAATGGTCTCCCCTTCCTGGAATTCTGTTTCTCATCTGAAGAAACCTATTGAAATCTAACAATTCTTCTGATGAAATAGCAAAAGAAAGAGCACCATGAATGAAGTCCATACTCCAGTCTCTTTGAAATGAAACTGAAGTAGATTCCATCTGGGCTGGAAAAATCCAAACTTTGTCTTTTCTCTCAACGGTTGTGTCCCAATATTCTGAAACGGAGGAGATCATTCTGAAAAGAGCCATGAGCTGGTTTTCACAATACACAATCACAACATTGGATAAACTTCCCATAATTATTTCATATGTTTTAAGAAAATAATTCATTTTTTCTCCCACCTCATTGGAAACAACTTCTACTAGAAGTTCTTCAATGTAATCAATGCAGATTCCTTTTTCAGAAAACAGGATCAGAACTTCCCGCAGAAATCTTTCACCAATCTCATTTGCTTGACAAATCACCCCAATCCAGGTCCACTTAAAATGTAGCAACAACTGAAGGATCCCCATAATTTGGAGATACTCATTTGGAAACATCTGATGAAAGAAAACTGAGTGAATAACATTATTGATCACTGGAACAGAGCCATATGTGAGCTAAGAGGGAAAAAAGAAAAAAAATAGACAGGTGTTTTTAAAGGTATGAAGGAATAACCTTGGGAGACAGAAGAAGCCGTAGACTGGACAACCTTCAGGCGAAAGGTATTTCAATCTACAAAATGAAGGAGGTATAGGAAGCCTTTTAAGAGAGACCATTTAAATACTTACAGTCTTGCAAGATTTTGCTAATATAGTTTTACAATAAAGATAGAGCTAAAATGTATCATTGTGCTTCTTGTCTGGACTTGTCAGGTACAAAAAGGTGGTGGACTTAGACTGCTTGTGGGAACTTAATGACTCCAGGCTGATTTCTCTCTTGACTCAGCCCCCAGGCTTTGCAACTCCTTATTGTGTAGGCCTACATCAAAGGGCTAGCATCAATCTTTAAAAAAATACTTGAAATATGTAAAGCATTTCTCCTCTGCTTTCCTTTTACTATTTTGAGAACTAGACAGGTCTTTTATGAAACATTTCCCACACCCCTTTTCCTTCTATAAACTGATGCATGTGATGGCTGTCTAGTCTGCAATGCTTCCTCTCATTCCCCAAAATAATTCTCATATACAATTAAAGTATGTCATATAATTTATCAATGATAAACCTTGCAAATTCATATTGATGCTTTGATTTTCAGGACTTTTTCATACTCATTGTAATTTCTATGAAGCTAATGGCACCACAAAGAAACCATTACATACTTCTTTGATCATCTTCAATGTGAGCAGAATGTGTTAGAATAGAATGTGAATCTGGAAAAATAATTGACTATGATATAGACAGACTTTTTCTGTATTGCACCAGAAAAGTCTAAATTATTGATACAGTAGATATTCAGGATCAATATAATCAATGCTAAGGACTCTATTATTCAGGAATTTATTGATAGAACATTCACTATCCCTACCTTCCTAAATTATCTGAAACTTTAGACTCTAGTTCTCTCCAAATTATGTCACAGCATAGCTGAGGCTGAATGATCCAATTCTGTTGCACTTTTACCCAGACAAAATTGGAGAATTCAATGACTGACAAAAGATTCCATTGGCAGAACTTGATGATCTATGTAACTTCTCCTTAAAGATTTGTTACACTATATTTCTATTCAACTCCAGTGAAGGAGTTCCCAGTCCCTTGGGGCTGAGGGACATTTTAAGAAATTTGACAGCATATTAAGATTTTTTTCAGATAATGTCAGGCATCAGAGTAGGGTTAGAGGAGGCCTTTTGTTCATTCACAAAATCTGTATTTCTGATGAGATAAATTAATAGGTTTTTATTGTCTGCACCTTCTTTATGAGGATGAAAGATTTTCTACCTTTGATTTTTTTTTCTTACAAGTGAATAACATAGGGAATATGCAGAAGCTCAATCTAGTTATTGGTCTCCTTCCTTCCTTCCTTCCTTCCTTCCTTCCTTCCTTCCTTCCTTCCTTCCTTCCTTCCTTCCTTCCTTCCTTCCTTCCTTCCCAGAATACCAATGCAGCTATATTTTTTATATAGAAATGCTGAGGAAATTTCAGTATGTATACATTGCTTGAAGCAAGCATGTACTTTCATAGAAAAAAATCTTGTGAATATGATTTTCTAATAATCACTATTGATACGTGTTATCAACAGTAGTTATCAATTATAAATTACTAGAATGCCCAAAAAATTGGGAAACTTTACTATAAATCAGCACATCAAAAGAAAAGTGGAGTAGCTTTATATATAAAAGAGACATTGGAATCCAAACAGATCTATTCAGATGAAGAAGGAAGAATTTTAATGGTAGAAATAATGATAAATCAAAAACAGATATTGATGGTAGCAATATATGCAACAAATAACAAACAAGAAGAATTTTATCAAAAACTACACAGGAAAATATTGGAAATGGAACATCAATACATTTGCTCGATAGGAGATTTTAATGCAATTGTAGACAGAAAGCTGTACTATAGAAGCAGTAAAACAGGAAAAAAGGGGAAAAGATTCTCCCCAAGGCATTTTTTAGAATGACAGAAGAAATTTCTATACAGGATACTTGGAGAGAAAGAAACCCCCCAAAAGACCCAATACTCATTTTATTTGAATATACATAAATCTTGGTCTAGAATTGATATGATATGGATGTCCCTTGAGCTAAGAATTAATATATATGAGATTGAGGTAGAACCTAACATCTGGGCAAACCATAATTTGATAAAGCTGACTTGGGAAGAGGCAAAGAAGAAACCAAGATGGACTTTGAATCCCTGCTAAAAGAGAAACAATTTGTAGAATTAGCAATAAAAGAAATAGAATTCTTTTTTAAACAAAATAAAAAGGAAGAGACATAAACTCAGCATGTATGGGACACAACCAAAGCATATTTTAGAGGTTTAACTATAACATACATGGCTAAAAAGAACAAATGAAAAAAAACAACAACAATTTTTAACATTAACGGAAGAATTTAAGAAACTGGAATCAGAATTACAAACACTAGGATTGTAGTATCCTAAGCCTGTCTTCTGGAGTGTTGGCTATTCCCACCAGCTTGGTGTCATTGCAAATTTGATGAATTCCCCATCTATCCCCTTGTCCAAATAGTTGATGAAGATGTTGAAGAGCACTGGGCCCAGAACAGAGCCCTGGGGCACCCCACTACACACTTCCCTCCATGTAGATGTGGTTCAATTGAGCACCACATGCTGAGTACGGCCGGTCATCCAGCTACAGATCCATCTGGTGGTGATGCTGTCTAACCCACATTTTTCTATATATACAAGGATATTCTGAATACAGATGGGAAATTAAAATCTAAACAAGAGCTAGAAGACCAGGCCATTGACTTATCATGGTGGCCCCAATTGCAAATGCAATGTAAGTATGACAAAGATGTTAAAACATATGGCTTTTATAAAGACCAGACAATGTTTGATCAGGTATGGTTGACATCTGATGAAAAAATGATTAAAACATTGTATAATTTTTTATTGAATTTAAAAATGCAAGATGAACAAATGAAAGAAACAATGATTATATGGGCAAAAAACTTTGGATATAATATAGAATTAGAAAAATGGCAAAATCTTTGGAAAAGAAATTATAAACTGACAATGGCTACTTCATATAAAGAAAACCTATATAAAATGTTTTATAGATGGCATTTTCCACCTGTTAGATTAGCAAAAATGTTTTTTAAAAAGTCTAGTAAAGGTTGGAAATGTAATCAAAATCCCAGTACATATTATCACTTGTGGTGGACATGTGTTAAAGCAAAAAAAAAAAAAAAAATGGACAAAAATACACACTTGGTTAGAAAAAATGTTAGAGAAACCTGTAGATTTTAAACCTGAACTTTTTTATTAGGCATAATGCCAGAAAAATTTGATAAACAAAATGTATATTTAACATTACATGTATTAACAGCAGCGAGGATCATATTTGCGCAGCACTGGAAAAAAGGAGATAACACCATTGGAAGAAGCGATAATTAAGAAAATACTGAACTGTGTGGAAATAGATAGACTCACATTGAGAATTAAAGGGAAAGAAGATACAGAATACTTTCAGACATGGAACCTATTTTATCAATGGTTGGAAAAATGAGATAGAGAGTAAGAACTTAACTTTTATGACTTAGCAAAACTAAACCCAGACAACATGTTGTTCATTAAGCACAAATGAATTGTAATGATAAAAAACTAATAAAATACTTAAAAAAGTTATCAACAGAAGAGATATGGCATTGAATTAATGTTCCAGTCCATTATTGCCATTGGATTGTATATCTTCTAATTTTCTGAATAATTCTAGCTGCCTTCTAGGTACAATTTTGAACCATCGTCTCAAAGGTGATAATGAGTTCCTGCTCCCAATTCCACTGAGGAAATAGGAGAGCAAGGAAGCAACTTCACTGATATTTGGTGAAAAACTCATAGTTTTTTTCAATGAAAATCTTCCTAGCTTCAATAGATCAGTCAGTTCCATATTTGTCTACAGACAAGCCAAAATCTATTTTGAATCATTTTGCTATTTGAATCAAAATGCTATTTTAAACTCACTGCTCAGCCATGTTTTGTTTATTTAATGTGACTGCACAGCTTTAATCTTTTAGCTGTGCAGTATGTATTATTTTTCTTGTTGTTTTAGAGTTGGGATTCCCTTAACAACTATACAGCTTTCATGGAAATCAACAAAGAAATATTTCAAATTAAAACAAAAATATCTCTTAAGATAAGATGTCTTTTTCTGCAACCCTTTGCACAAGTTTTAGTAACTTAGGACTGAAACTATAAAATTATTGTGTGGTGAGATTTTATTTATATTCTGGTTGCTGTTACTTACAGTAAACAGAAGAAATTTCATTAAAGAGGAAGTCGCAAACCAATAACTTTTTTTTTGCTTTTTTGTTGAGCAGGTCTTACCTGTGGAATCTTGTAAATGCTCAGGATGTCTGCCATAACCTGGGAGATATGAGAGTTGGGCCCAGCAATAACACAAACTGAGCTTTGGTGGGTGCTGCATTTGTAATTGGGAACAAATCTGCCATATGAAGAAAGAAGCTCCATAGAAGCAAGGTAGGTCCATGTTGCCATGAAATAACTGTTAGATATCCCAAAGCCCAGAGTGATGTTTGGCAAAATCTGAGGATTTTCATTGATCTCTTTTACAGCAAACTTCAAAGAGAAGATATGCATCTGATTCTGTAGAAACATACTTCAAAGAAGGTCAATGCCTCTGTCAGAAGGCTTGCATTTCCACATAGATAATTTGTTACATATCAAATTAAAAATCTTTGTAAATATCAAGGTACAGTTGAAAAATAATCACACAGGTGAGTTAAACTGCAAAACTCCCAAGATGAAATTCAATTGCAATATTCTTTTTACATATAAGGTAAAGACCAAAGAGTTGTGATTCCATGTTTATGTTTCCTATATGGTCACACTTAAAAGGATTCTGTCTCTCACCTTCCTTTCCATTATTTTTTTTTTTCAATTCTTCCTCACTCTCCCCTCTCTACACCGGTATAGTTAAACTCATTTATCAAGATAAGAATCTCATGCAATAATCAATGAATTTATTTTTGTACCTAGAAATGTAGTTTTTGCTACAAAAGACTGATTCAGGTGTTCTCCTCGAAGCGAAACATTTGCTATTTGTGTTACTACTTTGCTTATAGCATTGCACAAAATAATCCTGTCTCTTGCCTTTAAAATAATTAACTCTTTTCCTGATCCTTCTTTAAAGAATTCTTCTAGCTGGTTTTCACCTTAATGTGAAGGTATGTATGTGCGGGTGCATGAATGTTGCCTTCAAAATAAAAATGCAGTTGTGTTGCACACATAGCATACACTTATTTACATTTGATTTCTAATTCCTGATTGATCTCACGTGGGCCATGCAGGGGCAGCCAAAGGGCTGGATGTGGCCCCAGGGTCATAAAATGCCCAGGTCTGCTCTAGCACCTTTCCACACCCCACCCCTCTAGCCCCCCCCACCCCAAAATACTCCATGAGGTTCTTTTTATCTATGTCTGATTAAACAACATATAGATTGGAAAGGTCTATGAGATAAAACTTTCAATAGACATTAAATTGGCATTAAAAAGCATAGGAATTGTCCTTTAAAATTACAAGCAAGTTTGGTTGACCCTCTGTCATATACAGTATATTCTTTACTTTGCTGATAAATTCCAGCCAGACTCAATCAGTCAGGAGAAAAAGCTGATTGTTTGCATACATACTATTGTGGAATTGGTGTGCCATGGAAGTTTGGGATAGAAAAACTGGGAGAATAGGAAACAGAGAATGGGGAAAACTGCAATATCAGTTAAGTGAGACCAAAGCAACTGCAGTTCTCTAAATGTTATAAAGTTGAAAAAATTGAAAGAAAGCACTATCTTGAAATTAAGCAATTATTATGAAGTGTGTAAGAAAAAGAGTAGACTATCTGAGCAGTGGAAAGATAACTAAAAGGAAATGAAATTTAAACTTCAATCATTTCTGTCATCCCAAAATACACTGAGCCATTATCCAATCATATTTGAGTGTTGGTAGAGTTAAGAATAAAATCTACGTACATGGGGTCATCAAGAAGTTCTTCAGATGGAATCGTTTTGAAAGTTATCAAATTAGACATCACATAGATCAGAGAAATAATACCACCAATGTTGAGATCACCTGAATGATAGGATTTGTATTTAATACTAGGGTTGTTGATGGTGCATTTAGCATCATGGCACATAATCTCAGGAAGCCATATTATCACCCATGGCCTGAAGTATAACATCTCAAAACACAGCTGTTATTTGCCAAAATGATTATTGATGTTGCTTGTGAATATATGATCTGAATGCAGATCTGCTTCTCTTAGTTAATCTGAATGCAGAAATGTATAGCAAAAACAGTCAGAATCACGCAGTCTTCCTATTGAATATGTTTAGGAACAAGGAATATTAATAATAGTTGGGTTCCTGTTTTGCTCTGGTCTTTGAAAGTCCCTAGTGTCCAAAGGAGTAGAATTAAACAGGGTCAATTATGGGTGTAACATCTGTTGCTTAATTTTTTTTGAAATTGATGTCACATTATTGTACATTATTTGTGGCTTTCTGCATAGCAGCAAGGGAAACACTGACTGCAGTCAAGAGCACAGAAGGCCACAAATGGAAATGAATCACTAACATACAATAATGAGTGAAAAAGAACAAGTTTGCCAGTTTTGTACTCGTACCAGTGATATGAAAGTCAGTTTTACATTCAGAGTATGCTTCCAAAATAGAAAAAAACAAAATTCCATCAAAAAGCTTCATTATTTGTCAGAATACATATATGGTTTTAGGCTACCAAAAGTTTGTTACTCGACTTTAGTCAACCATCCTTTATATAATTGTAATGAAATGGGTTCATTTCATTACAATTGTTCAGTATTATGGTTGTTATGGTTGATTAATTCAGCTTTGGTGCTAATAAGAACAAGTCCATAGAATTTTCTTAATAACATTCTCAGAAGTTGTTTGCCATAGTAAATGGCAAGTGGGCACTGTGCCAATGTAAGAAAAAATGCAGGAGAAACATCTAGAGTGGTATGCCCATGTTCTACAAGCAGCTCCCAACACCATTGGCCACCTTCCCTTCCACTTTAATATAGATGGCAAATGCAAGCTCACATGGAGGGCTGAAGCAAAGATAACAAGATACAATAAATGTAGACATGAAAAATTCCCAGTTAGACTTGGATGCTGCATTTGATCACACAATGCACTAACAGGAAAAATACTAGGATGATGATGATAATAATGATGGTGGTGGTGGTGGTGGTGGTGGTGGTGATGATGATTGCCATAATCTTCTTCCTGAAGCTGAGAGTAGTGATTGGCTCAGTTATCGAGTTAATTTATATGACAAGCACAGATCAAAACACACAGTCTTCAAGGTTTGTTTCAGTTGCCATAATCGAACCTTTAGACACCTTTGGTTTGGATGATTGAGTCTTCATTGATATATTGCAAGCCATTTGGGGGAGAAACCGCGAAATTGGTATGATAAGAGTTGGTACATTCCAACAATTCTCTGCTCCTTCATGGATTACTGCCTTGTCATGGCGAAGGGGTTTGTGTAACTCAATGAAGCTATGAGCTATGCCATGCACGGCCACCCAAGATGGACATGTCATAGCAGAGAGTTCTGACAAAATGTGATCCACTGGAGAAGGAAATGGCAACCCACTCCAGTATCTTTGCCATGAAAACCCCATGGACAGTACTAAAAAGCAAAAAGATATGACGCTGGAAGATGAGCCCCTCAGGTCGGAAGGTATCCAATATGCTACTGGGGAAGAGCAGAGGGCTAGTACTAGTAGCGCCAGAAAGAATGGAGCGACTGGGCCAAAGCCGAAAGGATGCTCAGCTGTGGATATATCTGGTGGTGAAAGGAAAGTCCAATGCTGTAAAGATTTTTTCTCCATAGGAACCTGGAATGTAAGATCTATGAATCAAGGCAAGCTAGACGTAGTCAAAAAAGAGATGACAAGACTGAACATTGACATCTTAGGAATCAGCGAACTAAAATGGACAGGAATGGGTGAATTTAACACAGAGAACCATCAGGTATACTACTGTGGGCAAGAATCCCTCAGAAGAAATGGAGTAGCCTTCATAGTCAATAAAAGAGTAGGAAAAATAATACTGGGATACAATCCCCAAAATGACAGAATAATTTCAGTGCAAATGCAAGGCAAACCATATCACAGTAGTCCAGGTCTATGCCCCAACCACTGGTGCTGAAGAGAATGAAATTGACTGGTTCTATGAAGCCCTACAGCACCTTATAGAATCAACACCAAAAAATGATGTCGTTATCATCATGGGGGATTCGAATACTAAAGTAGGAAGCCAAAAGATAACTAGAATAACAGGCAAGTTTGGCCTTGGAGTACAAAATGAAGCAAGGCACAGGCTGATAGAATTTGTCAAGATAATATGATGGTCATAGCAAACACTCTTTTCCAACAACCCAAGAGATGGCTCTACACATGGACGTCACCAGACGGTCAACACAGAAACCAGATTGACCATGTGCTCCGCAGCCAAAGATGGAGAAGCTCTATACAGTCAGTAAAAACAAGACCAGGAGCTGACTGTAACTCAGATCATGAGCTTCTCATTTCAAAATTTAGGCTTAAATTGAAGAAAGTAGGGAAAAACACTAGGCCATTCAGGTATGAACTAAATCATATCCCTGATGGATATACAGTAGAGGTGACAAATAGATTTAAGGAATTAGATCCGATAGACAGAGTGCCTGAAGAACTATGGACGGAGGTTCACAACATTGTACAAGAGGTAGCAACTAAAACCATCCCAAAGAAAAAGAAATGCAAGAAAACAAAATGGCTGTCTGAGGAAGCTTTGCAAATAGCTGAGGAAAGAAGGGAAGTGAAAGGCAAGGGAGAAAGAGAAAAATACACCCAATTGAATGCAGAATTCCAGAGAATAGTTAGAAGAGATAAAAATGCCCTCTTAAATGAACAGTGCAAAGAAATAGAAGAAAACAATAGAATAGGGAGGACCAGAGATCTCTCCAAGAATATTGGAGATATGAAGGGAACGTTTCATGAAAAGATGGACATGATAAAGGACCAAAATGGCAGGGACCTAACAGAGGCAGAAAAGATTAAGAAGTGGTGGCAAAACTACACAGAAGAACTATACAAGAACGAGCTTAGCGTCCCAGATAATCATGATGGGGTGATCACTGTCCTTGAGCCAGACATCCTGAAATGTGAAGTGAAATGGGCCTTAGGAAATCTGAGCAACAACAAAGCTAGTGGAGGTGATAGTATTCCAGCCAAACTATTCAAAATCTTAAACGATGATGCAGTAAAAGTGCTACACTCAATTTGCCAGCAAATTTGGAAAACTCAACAGTGGCCACAGGATTGGAAAAGGTCAGTTTACATTCCAATTCCAAAGAAAGGCAATGCCAAAGAATGTTCAAACTATCACACCATTGCACTCATTTCACATGCAAGTAAAGTTATGTTTAAAATCCTACAAGCTAGACTCCAGCAGTATATGGATCGATAACTTCCAGAAGTACAAGGAGGATTTCGAAGAGGCAGAGGAACTAGAGATCAAATTGCCAACATACGCTGGATCATGGAGAAAGCTAGGGAATTCCAGAAAAAAAACATCTAGTTCTGCTTCATTGACTATGCTAAAGCCTTTGATTGTGTGGATCACAACAAATTGTGACAAGTTCTTTTTTTAAAAAAAACAAGTTTTATTGTTTTTTTCATTTTACAAACAAGTGCTTAAGAAACAATGTGGTGGCTGGGCAATCAATTGTCCACAAAACAAAGTCATACTCATAAAGTTCAGATTAAGTCATTAAAAACCTCCTCTCTTTTCCCTCTAACGACATATTATATTCATATTGATATATTTCAACACAACTAAATCAATCATAACAATCCTCAATAATCTTTCATCTAAATAAATCCACAAATCCAGATCCTGTGTTAAGTTTGACTATTTCACTTGCTATGTTCCATATTTCTAATCTAAATACCTAGTTAACACTATGGGAGTCTCCCCATAACCTTTTTCCTTAACATATTCAATAAACATTTATTAATATCATATCTTCTTTTTTCCTATTCCTCTTCCATTACAAAATGACTATCAGTTCTAATAAAAAAAGAAAATATTAGTTCAAATCAGAAAGGGAAAAAAAGAACAAAGAAGAAAAAACAGAAACAAAGCAAAAAAAAGAGAAAAATACCTTTCTATTTCTATTATTCTTTATAATCTAACAATCAATCCCTCAATTTCTGTATCAAGTTTCTTTAACGTCCTCCCAAAGTTACTGTATCCAAAACATATTAATACATAGACAAAACAACTTGTTATTAAGTTCAAACATTTAATTAATTTTTATTCAATCTAACCTCTTATTTAACTGTCTTAAGCCATAAATCAATCCATATCTAATAACCCTTTTAAACCCATTACATAAAACCTTAAGTCACATTCTTAAATCGTGTTTTAGCTTTCCTTTTATGCCAAACCGGTGTCCATAACAAGGCCTCTATATCAATGAACAAATCACTCTTTATGCCTTGTAGTATCCTTTGAATCAAACAAAGACGTCCTCTTTTCTGTTTTAGAGACCTAGCTCCTTTGTAAGTAATCCCTTGTTGTTCTAAAAAGTCAAATCTCCACGTCTGAAACTGTTGAATAGCCGGCTCAATTATGTCCAACTTTGTAGATGATAGTTGTTTATCCAAGCCACCATAGTTCTCAGTTTGTTGGGCTTGTCTGTCCATTTCTGTTGTAATTTTAAGGTTGTAAGTGGTTTAATTTCAATCCTTTTTAGTTCCTTGGAGATCTCATCAGCATGCATATGAAATAGGATGGAATCTTCTTTACCTTTAGTTAATCCCGCTTCTGTTGTTTTTTTGGTCTATAGAGTGCTCAGATAAGGTCTGGGAGTCAATCCGTAAATTCAAAGCAGAATTTCTGTTTTTTATTTCCATAGTAAATTCTTTTATTTGCAAACATATTTCATCAGTAGCTTCGTAAAGTTTTTCCAGTATAAGTTTATAGTCAAGTTGAACCAAAGGTTGCTCCATTTCAAAAATAATTAGAAACAGTCTGTATTATTTAGTAGAGGCTATATGCAGAAAACATTTAATCAATGTCCACCCCCACCAGTACAGCTGTTGATTTTCTTTGTATTTTCCCT